GCATAACATTTATAATTGATAGGCGAAAAAAAAAATCCATACAAATATAAAAATATAAACATGAATAAATAATAAATAATAAAAAAAACCCAATAATTTGCATTTTTGCAAATGTTTGCTTTTCACCAATCCGCTGCTTTTTCCGTACAGTGATACATGAATTTTATCAAACATATCGTATCAAAAAACATGGCATTATAGGAATTCTCAATTTTTTTTCTTTTTAAATAATAAAAGTACAAATTTTCTTCATGATTTTAGTATCTACGCATCATCAAATGGAAAGTGTTTCATTCAATAAAAATTCTAACATTTTAACAGTGCCACATGTTCATCTGCCTGTCCAATGTCAACAACATCGTATTGTGTCATAGCTTTATGTGTTTTGGGCATTTTGTTTTTGGAATTGGATGTTGATAGTCAATCTTTGATAGTCTATATGAAATAAATTCACTGCTTTTCTATATTTTCGGCGATATAGAGGTCAACATATTGAATAGAAACCTGTCCGGTGTTGCGGATTGTATGTTGAATTTAACATATCATTAGCTTTTTTGTGTTGTTGCGTTGTTGTTTCATTGACGGATACCCTTTTATTTATGAAGGTCTTTCCCATTATGTTATAGATAATGCATATTTTAAGGTTTTTCTTGTCGCAGAACACATCGAGGGGTGTCGGGATTGATCAAATGAAAGACCGACCATAGGGAGGGTCTTTCTTTGGGCAATCCTGACACCCCGAGGTGTGTTCTACGACAAGAAAAACCTTAAAATATGCATTAACTATATACTGTACCTATATTGAGTTCTTTTCTTTCAGAACGATAGGTCATTCTTTCGAAGAATCAACCCGGACGATACCATGTGTCAATGAAATATGCTTCAAGGCATAAACTAATAACCTGTGTAAGGTCATTATTTTCCTTGATAAAGATGTACACTAAAAGTTACTTAAATATTTAATTCGTTTGATAGTTTGTTGTTGCCAATTGGGGAATTTATTTTTTAATGTTCCATCTTTGCTATGTTTAAGGCAGAAACAATCCTTTCCTCCGTATATTAGACTGAAATACAAAAAATCGTCAATGACGCGCATTTTATTTTCGAAACAAATAATGTGAAGTTTTGTTAATTTATTGCTACAATAAAGGGACATTATTACGGAAGCGTATTAGCGCACATTTGTTTGTCTATATTTCTTCCTATGTTTGCGTAACAACGCAAACCTTTGCGAAATAACGCAAATCTTTGCGAAATAACTTTTGATTTTGTTTACTCATTAAGTTTTCAGTATTTTATAATCAAAAACTATATTGAATTTACATTTTGTTTATCATATAATTTGAAAGCAGTGTTTTGTAAATATCGGGATTTGCATGTCCGTCTGCCAGTAAAAAAATGTGTTTGTGATTTAGTTAAGAGAAGTACCCTGAAACTTAAACAAAAAAAAAGATAAAACAATTGTTTGCGTTATAACGCAAAGGTTTGCAAATGGTGATAATTTTTAATACATGCAGCCTCCTCCAAATATAACAGCTGCTTCCCTTGAAACTTAAACAAAAAATAAGATAAAACAAATAATTGCGTTTTATCGCAAAGGTTTGCGTTACTTCGCAAATGTTTCCGTTATTTCGCAAAAGTTTGCGTTATATAACGCAAAGGTTTCCGTTATAACGCAAAATGTTTGCGTTGTTTCGCAAAGGTGTGCGTTATAATGCAAAGGTTTGCGTTATTTCGCTTAGGTTTGCGTTATAATGCAAAGATTTGCGTTATAACACAAAGATTTGCGTTATAACGCAAACATAGAAAGAAATATAAAAAAAAAATTGTGTGGCGCTAATACGCTTCCGTACATTATCATATATGTGAGACGAATTTAAAAATGCAAAACTTTTCATAACACTTTTAAAATACAAGCCAGATTTAACACATTCGTGTGTGGGATTTTGAAAATCTTATTGATTCACACTGAATTGGAAATCATACTTTGAGCCTACATGTAAGGATATTTGTTTTAGTGTTACATATACATGTATCACGATTCCGTGCTGTCTTCATGTCAGATCTAAACTTTTTACATCTATATATACCTTTTACTCTATCAAATGATCAACTGATTAAATATTCTTATATTCTATAGAATAATGGGGTCGGGAGTATTGAATTAAATCTTGATTCTCTGTTTGAAAAAAATTGTATTGCCATTCAAAAGAAAAGTATTCTGAATAAAAGTTCATTAGTTAAAAATTGTTAAAAAAACTGCTTTTCCGTAATAAAAATTTCATTTACAAAAAAGAAACAAAATAGCACCCCACTTTCATAAACTAAATTGGTACAGTTAGTTACTTACAAAGTGACTTGTATTTTTCATACACAGTTATCGGGTGGTAACAATTCATTTGTGTCTTGTTTCATGCAGTTACAGTAATATTTTTATTTTTATTGTGTTTGGAAAATGATTTCTAAAGTTTATATTTAGATTAATTAGTGAGTTTATCCTCACATTATAAATGAGCCGTAGGGCGTATTAAAACCTGAACGCATCAGAAAAGAATATCCCACTTTACTGTGATCGGTAAAATAGGATGCAAATGCTGCATTATGTTATAGATAATGCATATTTTAAGGTTTTTCTTGTCGTAGAACACACCTTGGGGTGTCAGGATTGCCCAAAGAAAGACCCTCCATATAGGTATATAAGTACATAATAACCCTTAAAACAGAAACTGCAACAGGTAGAGGAAACCAAAGAATTGGAAATGTTTCTTGGCTCATAGAAGTACTTCTTACATTTTGACCGAAACACTCGATTAATCCTTTTTGAAGAATAACTCCTCACGAAATATGAACACCCTCCGTCAAATGTCAAGTCTCGAAAACATTTAAGTCGTAGTGACCTTAGATCATCACCATTGGTTTTTTCGATACCTTACCTTGGCAAACGTTAAAAGGCGACCTTTCCACCTTAGACCTTATCATGGGATTAACTCTGCAAAATATAATAGGTATATAAAAGGTAAAAGATGGGACGTGTTTGGGACATCAAGCAACACATTCGATAAGTTTGACAGAAAAGCTACCACCACTTTTTAAGGGAGACAATCCGATAGATATTGTAAGTGGTAAGTAACTCGAAGACTATAAGTCATAGGGACTTCATTATCTGACTCCTAAACATGTGACCGTAATTGAATTTAAAAGTCAAGGTCACCGCAACTATTCCAAATTAGAAATTACTATGGAATGAAATCAAAAACAGTAAAAGTTGAAATAAATAAAAAATCTTTTTTTTTTTTAAAAGCTACGCCGGACCCTCCGTTAGGAAGATAATCCTGATCGAAGGTTCCAGAAATATCGTTAGTAGTCATAATTCTGAAACTATTTGTCGTAGGAAACTAATGTCTTAACCATTGGAATTCTCTTCTTGTGATCTTGATAAGGTCAGAAATCATGGTCACTATGATCTTTCCACATTAGAATTTTTTTTATAGTATGTCGGAAATTGTAAGTGATACAGAAAACGAAAAGATGAAAACTGTTTGGTCCACCATGCCGTAATTTCATTATGTTTTAAAAAGCTACGACCGACAGAATTCTCGTCGAAGGTTCCGGAAATTGTTGAAAGTGGCCATATTCCGTAAACTATTAGTAGTAAGGACTTAGTGTCTGATCATTGTATTCCTTGACCTGTGAACAGGATAACAGTAAATTATCAAAGCTGCTCTAACTTACGTCATCTACCCTAGAACAGATCCTGACAGTTCTAAACTATAACAGATATGAACAGTTCGACCTTTTTTTTTGAACAAAACAGAAAAATAAAGACTACGCGACGCGAGCCCTACAAAAACCCTTGGTGAAATACGGAAGAATAAACAGATCCTGCCAATGTATTTGAAACCGTCGTGTTGCTCATGACATGCAAAGAAGATCACGTGATAAGTCATAAACAAGGAAAAGAGAACGACACATAGAGTACGACAAAGGTAATAAACTTTTGAAAAGATGGCTTCAAAACCATTAAGAATCCTTGGTTAAGTCTCTTTTCCCTTAGCAGTAATACTTTATAAAAAAAATTCTTATAGGAATAAAAAACTAGATTAGAATATCGATAGAATATCGTTTCAACCAGACGACATATACTTCATATGTAGGTTCTGCTGGAATGAACCACACAGCTCAAAAATAACATGTTCTGATAAGGTGTTGAGATTTCACAAAACATGTTTAACCCCGTCGCTTTTATGCGCCTATCCCAAGTCAGGAACCTCTAGCCTTTGGCCTTTTTTAGTCTTGTTGTTTTTTTTAAATTTTGATTCATTTATATGTTTCGGAGTTTAGTGTGGCGTCCATTTTGCTGAGCTAGTAAACATTATTGTTTATTGGCCAGCTGAAGCCCGCGTCCGGGTGCGGGATTTTCTCGCTGCGTTGAAGTTCCATTGTTGGCTTTGTGCTGTTTTCTGCACTTTGGTCGGGATGTTGTTTCTTTGACACATTCCCCGTTTCCATTTGCAATTCTATTACTCCGTTAAACTTAGCTTTTAAAACTTAAAAGTCAGTGAAAAGATTGTATGTACTAGTATTTAAGATGCTGTTTTTCAAATATTAGTCATTATTTATGTGTTATGTTATGTTATGTCAAGTCTCTATTTTGGTTCACTTGAAGCACCGCAGTATTGCAAGTGTTTTACTCGGCATATTTCAGTAGTTTTACTTGACTGTCGTCACGGTATGTCATATGCTGAGTCTATGCTGGAAATAATATCATGACTGCAATGATATGCGTAAATATAAGGAATTGATGCTAACCATGACTCAACATAGAACGATAAAGACTTTTTTCCTGTTTCATGCAAATAATGACCATAGCCAAACATGAATTTAATATTGTATAGCAATGTCATATTCCATATAACGCGCAACTAGAAATTAGGATGCAATATTCACCAATATAAATTTAGTGCAATAAATCTATGAGGACATATGCAAATGTTAATACCTATTTTTAGAAATTTTTATTTTCTTTGAACACAAACGATGGTGAAACCAATGTAATTTCCTATCTATTTAAACACTAAATTAAAAATAATTTTTTATTCACATATTTATATGCATGAATTATACTCTCCGAATTTTGTTTTGTTTACTTTGGCACATTTTAGCGTTTTATAACTTGAAATAAATGTCTTACAAGATTGAAATATTTAGGTTTTATCGTATATCTGATACACGTTAATAGAGCTACCAGCCATATCAAGTCCTGCTTCATTTTGTATATTTCTTTCAAAAAGAGTGTAATTTTTCTGGTTCCTTTGATTTTCAAGCCAGACCGTTTTCTGACGAGATAAAAATTCTGGATCTTTTTGCATATTTGATATCGCTGCATAAAATTTACTGTGAGGAAGATTGTGATAATGGTACCAGTCTTGAAGATGAACAGTCGGATGATATGTCTTGTTCCTAATCAAAGACTCTAAACAATCTAACACGACCTTGTCCTGATATTCATCAAACTTGTTGGCAAATAACTGTCTCTGACCAACAAGCCATGGCAAGTCATTTCTACTGAAAACGCACACACCTCTGACAAATTTTCCAGAGCATTTGACCCTGTCTCCTTCCCATATAATCGCTCTGGATAAGAATGTTCCGTATCGATGGCGAACCTCCGACATGTAGCCACCTGGGGCCCACGGTAGAGTATTTACTGTAGCCCATATATTCTCTTCTGGTGAATATGTATCATTGAGCCAGTTAATATAATCTTGGACAACGTCATCAGAAAGTACGAAATTGACAAACTGTCTAGTAAAAGCTCCATAAGCACTTCCTTTACTCATTTGCATTTTATATTTGAATGGCTCTTTCTTCTTCAAAGTATCAATTAATTTATGAGCGACTATTTTATGAGCCTTTTCGTAACGCCATTTTAAAAATACTGGCAGACTATATGACTCAATATCATTAGCACCGTTTAATGCTTGAAGAATTTTTACCATTTCCAAATTTGACTTCAGTGGAAATTCTTGTCCAGTCAAATTGATGTAGTATTTCCATTTTACATTAGATTTTGAAACCATTTTCATACACTGGAAGTCAGTTCGCATATGCGCAGAGCTTGCGTATACCACATTAATTGGATTTTTCACAACATGTACATTTGGTAGGCATTTACTTATACTTGTCATCAGTTCCATGAGAAGCTTTGGAGCCTTACCATCTATGTAAATACAGATAACATTATGGGAGCGATAAATTGTTCTTAGAAGACGCTCAGCTTGTTCTGGAAGGCGATGAAATTTAATAGCAAAAGCTAGCGGAAATGTTTTCTCCTCTTCCGATACTGGAAACGTTTCATATCCATGAACTAATTTAAACAACGAACAGTTTGATACTAAGTTGTATAGTCGACACTTTCCCGTTGCTTTACGATTTAGTAAAGGGTTAACAGGGTTATTCCCCATAAAGTATGCAGCGCAACTAGTACCGATTCCTTTAATGGGGAGACAACTGTCCGTTAATGGATTTTCATTTCCACTTCTGACCTCAGTACATGGTGCTGGAGTGTCCCTATGAAATTTGTCAATTTTTGGCGCTAAAATTACATTTTCAGGTGATATGGGATTATCTTCAACCAAAAGAACTTGTCTTCCAGTATTCGTCCATAAACCAAGAAAGGTTACGAATGAAACTATTTGTATACAACAAGTGGTAATACACCAGTTTCGTAGTGGCATTGCTGATGTTCAGTAGTCCCATTACAAGATATACAAAAATCTTCCAAAGTCCATGTACACCTGTAACATTTAGCTATTTAGTATTGTTACTTCACTTCTTAACTCGATACACCCTTCTTTTCTTCTCCTTTACTGTCCGCTATATACGTCTACACATACAGAAGAAATCCTTTGCCTTTTTTCTCAGTCAACTGTCATACTCCTTTTTTATTTGGGTTATCCGTGTATTTCATTGATTCAAGGATTCTGCCTGTGGAAAAGATAATATCGTAATAAAGCTATTTACATTTGTACGGGCTATAAACCATACAAGTTAATTTTAACAACATAAAACTACCATTAACTTTATTGACTGACGAGGTTCCTTTGACAGTTTTTTTTTATCCACTCTCTCCCCTGAGGATATTCCTTAAAATATCATAGTAAACACACGAACGGATTTTTTTTGTTTGTAAACAATTTGCATGAATGGATGAAGTAAGTAGGTGTAACCAAGTACAAAAATAAAAACTGAAATTATGAATGAAACTTGCGTAAACGATTTAAATCATCGAAACTAACATGTTTGTTAGTAAAGTTACACCCTTCATGAGGCATTATCTAAAAAAAACTCTTTAGAAATATATCGCGATATTTAAAAAAATGTAAATGAATACATTTATCATTATGTCTTTCTGTATATCTCTCAGGCGTCGTTTCTAAGAATAACGTAAAATGACGACATCAAATCTAGGATATACGTACAACATATTCATTGCAAAATGGTTATAAATTACAATGTTTTATATTGCTGGTTGATGTGGTTGAAAATAACACCAAAGCCAATCAATTGCCCTCTTTTCCGGCTATTTTGTTATTTCTAGTAAACATTTGTTTTCTAATTAGGAATAGAACACGCATTTCTTTAAATTAGATCAAGAATGGAATAGGCGTGTTAAATCAAAAACCGCTAGACTTAGTCAATCCTTCATGAAATACGCACAGATAGGGATAGGCAAATATTCTACTAGGGGTATTTAAAATTCCCATTGTGAGAGTCATATTCACTAGACAAGGAAAACACACTCATGGGATTTTAAACAGACTGAAGTTATATATCTCCCTGTTTTTGATTTTGAAATATCGATATGGGCATACGTAAATTAGTTGAAACCTAAAGAAAAAAGACAGAAAAAGAACCAAAAAGACCCCTTTTACATATTCCAATGGAAATCACCCTATTGTTATTTATATGCCCATATAATCCTATGGGGAAGATCTGCTGGTTAGTTATGGTTTAAATGTTGAAGACGTTTATTGTCAAAATAATAATGATATGAATAATAAATTAACAAATCTAAGTTCAATAAATAATGATAAAAACCACCAAAGATATTGGTTAAAAACTTGTCATCTAATATGATGAACACCACACTACATCAAACACAATACAAAATTGTACAAGCGGCATCATATTTGCATGCCTTGATACCGATTTCAAAATGCAATGAGTTGTCACTATCAGAACATGAAACATATAAACCTACCATGGTACCTTAACGTAGTTATGTTGCAAATGTTTAAGATGACAAAAAGCAAAGGAACAGCGCTTTTATTGCTGTTCTTAACTCAAAGTTATAGTGAGGCCTTCAACACAGAGAAAAAAAAAACTCTAACCTCACTGCAAGTTTAAGACGGCCCCTAGCATCGGCTTGAGCGGAATTCTTTGCAATATAATTTGGATACTTACTTTTAATGTTAGTTCTAAGCATGAATGTTTTACATTCTGGTTTTTAAGGCCCACCGAGGGGCATTATGTTTTTCGGTCTATGCGTCCGTTCGTCCGTCTGTCTCGCTTTAGGTTAAAGTTTTTGGTCAAGGTAGTTTTTGATGAAGTTGAAGTCCAATCAACTTGAAACTTAGTACACATGTTCCCTATGATATGATCGTTCTAATTTTAATGTCAAATTAAAGTTTTGACCCCATGTTCACGTTCCATTGAACATAGAAAATGATAGTGCGAATGGGGCATTCGTGTACTATAGACACATTCTTGTTTTTATATATTTTTCAGTCATACTTCGATATACCATATATCAATTCTAACATTATATATTTCAAATATAAATAGTTTTTAAGCTAGAAAAATGCTGTTATTTCATTTCATATAGTATTTTACAAAATGTAAGATGTTTTCGGAAACATTTATGAACACCATGATTAATTTAAAATATTTTGATATACTACTTTTGGTGACATGCACATTCAATTTTATTCTAATGTTAAACCTAGCGGAAATTAACATTAAAAAGCGATTCAAGGATATAAAACTAAATGTTCAAAGCTTGTATCATTAGATCTACATGTCCGGTACATTTCATTTCAATACACTAGAAGGTTGTAACAAGGACATCTGAAAAGTTGTCTGCCCCGAGATACAATTTCACTGGACAGAATTTTGATTTTTATCTGTTAAAACGGTCGAATAGGACATGTTTTAGTCTTTCGTTTTCTATTCTGACCGAAAAACTATGGGTTTATAGACTGAAAAGTAATCGGTCAAAATTGTGGATTTCACCATGGTTCAATAATAGTACGTAAAATTGACCTTTAACCTTTAATTAGGGTAATGTTGTGATCTTCCAACATTTATAGTAATAGCCATGATTGGTCGTGGGAATCTGATAAAAAGATTGTATCTTTAAATTTCAACTATACATAAACAACAATGAATTCCAGAAAAACAAGTTGTCAATTAAGTGTCCTTGAAGGTTAGAGTTCATTTAAATCGTTACGGAGTTATCTTGATGAATATAATTGTAAGACTAAAATTTTATTTTAAAATTTCAATTTACAGATATTATATCAATGTTCCTCATCAAGCCCCTGAGACAAGTAGTCCTGATTTATGCTAGTACAACAAACTATTAGTAATTGATTTACAATTGTTAGTACTTAATAAATATCAAACATACATGTAGTTTGGGAAAGGCGTGCTTATTTATAGCGTATTTTTGACGATTTAAACATTCCATCTTGAAAACCTATAATATCAAGATTTATCTTCCTTCTTTAAGTATCCTGTACAAATAGTCATTGTTTTCTCGGCGTTTGAATTGTTACATAGGTTTGGCTAAAAGAAGATTTAAGGCATTAGTTTAAACATATTTCATTTGCTTAACTATGCAAAAGGGATGAGACACACGTTAATCAAACTTCTACAGTCTTCTCCCGTAATCAATATGTCCACAAATGTCTACACGTATTTTGCGAACCGTAAGTATGGGAGCACCGCTTTTATCGTTGTACTTCATCTCAAAGTCTTAAACACGGAAAGAATTTTCACATGTCAATACAATGTATAAGTTCTAGTCGACCTATAGCACCGGTTTGATTGAAATCTTTTGCTTGATGTTGATATTGCTATATAGTTTGGCATTTTGCATTGACCGAAACATATTTTGTCTGGGGGGAGGGGGGGGGGGGGAGTTGACACAACAGCAATTGGTAGTAGTTAACTTTTAAATTAAAACGTCTTCAGTCTGCTTCAGATACGAACTTCTTTTTTTATTCTTATAGAATACCAGCTTCTAGCTCTACCATCAAACTGCAATGATTAGCTTTTTGTTTTATGAGAAGTTTGAAACAATCAATTACCTAGAGTGCAACGCCAGTTTTACTTGAAAATGTAAACTTCCATCATAATGATCGGTTATGCGTATGTTTCTATGAAAATGAAACTATCGATATGTGTTCTCGGATGCTTAAAGATGGAAACATACTTGTAAGTTAAGTGAAATGATGGCAAAGTGTTGGTGACAAGAGCGCAAATAGTTGTTTACATTTTATTGGCAAGATGTTTACATTATGATGGTACTCAGAATAGAACTATGTGCGGTTTCTGATTGGAGGATACAGGGTTGTAATCGAAAGCTTGTCCATTTGGGTTCTAAAAATCCATAAAAAATCAAATTTATATTCTACTAAGTATAGAAAAGATATTGAATTTCTGTACGTAGGAGCCATACAAATATTGCCATTTTCATTAATGGAAAAAATAGACGTTGTTTTTCAACTGCATTTTAAGTCAACTTTTTTGGGCTGTTATATAACGCTGACATTTCTAGTAACAGGAACTGCTGCCCATTTTTTTCTAGTTTGTGTAGTCTTCAAGAAATAAGATATCGAACACCACTGGTATCCCATGGAAAATGCATTACGAACAATTGCGCTATTGTAACCTATAGAATACACCATATGAAAGGGATATAACCTTGATCATGCTTACGATGAAAATTTCATTTATTTGCTATAAAATTATCGACCTTCCATATAGGTAATTCTCTAAATTAAGTATAACAAATATTTAATTGCAAGTACCTTATATTTTTTGTTAGAAAACAAAGCAATTATTCTTGCTGAATAAAACGTATTGTTTAGAACAAATCATTTATGCAGTGTCATTATGATAGAAGTTGTTATAGCAACTCGTGTTGTTTCCATACTACTGTGGCATATTTTGTATTAGATATTTCATTTTTCCTCAATCTCTATCTTATTTAATTATAACTTTTTACTAACAATTGGCTTAAACAATTGTTGTTCCGTTTAAACAGATGACTTTATACTGCAACTTAAAAACGGCCCATCAGTATTTTGAATTGGCAAGCCTGTTGAATATCTAGAGTAAAAAAGAAATACAAATGCAGATGGTAGGGGGTCACAAAAATTGTACTTTTTCAAAGCATATTCACATATTGAATCCTCGGAGCTTACTTGTTTTCGTTAAAATACTATTTGTTAAATAAAAAAAAAAAATTAGTTACTATTGAAGATTTTTTGACGGGCTTAAGACTTTGTATCTTCGATTTGGTTTAATTTTGAATACTGATTGATTTATATGATAAAAATAGAATTGATTGATTTACAGATTTTAAAATCAATTAAACCATCAGTGATTTTTACAATTAGAAATCTGATATAGTATGTATTATATCTTTAAATCTTCTACAATATACATGTCGTTCTGATACACATCATGACCTGGGGACATTTACTGTTAATTTATCATTATATAATACACGTCGAGTAATTGATTTACTGACCTTTGTATATAATAAATATATCAAGATCGTCATTTTATATGTTAATAAAGATCGCCGCTGTAGTTTGATAGGATATAAATACGGTTAGATAAAAACAATGCATGTATGGATTGGTGTGTAAAGTCCAGTGGCAAGTATTACATGCATATCAGGACAAAAACATGTA